TGCAGCGCTGAAATCCCGAATCCTATGCTAGCTTTTAAATTCTTGGGCCCAAGACCTTGGAGTCTCCAGAGCCTCCTTCTTAAAAAGGCTCGCTTGCCCCGGGAGAGACCTCTTTTATAATTTTTAAAGGTCTCCCTGCTTTGACTTTGCAGCTGTTAGCGACATGATGCCCTGGGTGTGGGAGGGCAAAGCAGAGGTGGGATGGCGGGGTGTGGAGATTAGCAGGCAGGCTGCTAGGTATTAGGGTCCAGCCATCTCCCCTAGGTTCTGCAGTAAGTACTAGAGGGGCAGACCCGCTGGCCTACAGGGCTGCTTTTATCAGCCCTGGTTTTGTTCATTTGCAACTAACATTGTGGGGCAGTGGACCCTAGCAAACCGAATGGAGAAGAAAACTTGGAGGTTACTATAAAAAAGAAGCAGATTCACATATTTTTGTCTTGTTCACTCTCTTATATTCCTTGTGGCTCTTTCTATGCCCTCTGCTTCTCCATTCATTCTGCTTGCCTCTCCATAAAGCATGTGGGAAGAAAGAGAAAAAACTCAAATATAAACCCAAATATGTGTCCAAATGAACACATCTCTCAGTGACTATATGAAAAAGGAAAGGCTTTGAGCTCCATGTGGGGAAAGGGCCTCACTTGACAAATAGAGGGGCAGTATTTTGCTATCTGCATAAAATAAGTGAAACCTACAGAAAAATACTATTTTATCCCCCTGAGTAGGATGCGGGGTGGGCTTTCCTTCTCCTAGATTTGTGTAAAAAAGGATTTTGTTCTGAATGACAGAAAAGAAAAAAGGCAAAGTTGGGGGGAAATTTTTTGAAATAATCTCCACTTCTAAGGACTCTCAAATTGATTGCCCTGAAAAGAAAGCTTTGCTAAAAACCTAATAAATTAACCTTTTCAGTTATTGGAGTGTTACAGATAAGGAGTGCCTATGAACAGGTATGACTATGAAAAGCACCAAAGCATTTACCTGGTAAAGGTAGGTACAGCTCTCTCTTTCTAATGAAAAAACCATTGTCATTTCTTTTCCTTTTGTAAAAGAGAGCCATATAAGAGCTCCCATGATAGAAAGAGAATCTTTTCACCCCAGGTTTTCACAAAGAGCAGTCCCAAGCCTGGCTCTGCCTTAATGTTAAGGCATTTGCTGTGACTTTGTTATTGTTAATACTGATGAAGAGATGAAGGAATTAAAACGGAGGATGCTTCCAGGCATTTCAGAAGACACTTGGCCAGCTATATTAACTCCTTATTATCCTAAAAATAGTCTGCTGTTTCCTGTTGATGCTTGTTCCCTGCCACTCTAGGGCAGCATTTATCCTCCAGTGGTCAGGGGGTCTTAGTTTCCAAAGACTGGCTTGATTAAAGCTGATTTCCAGCTCCCTTTCCCTTCCCCCTTTGCCCTGCTACATTTCCCAGCAGGACAAATAGGGAAGGCTCACCCTTGGTTTAGCCAACAAATTGAAAAAACAAACGTCACTATTTATCTTGTTTTAATCTAAATGTTTAAACATTGTTGAGTTCCTTTTTTTTTTTTTTTAACTGAAAGAGGAGTATTTGTGTATTAGGGAGTAGAGTTCTATGCTTGGTAAAACAGAAAGAAAAGACAGACTTTCATGTACAATCCCAAAACTGGGAGAGGTAGAAAAATGTGTTATTTTCCTCCTGAATCCATTCTAGGCTCAGCTTACTGGCTCCCTCTGTTAGGAAAGCTCTGGATGTTCTCACAGCCTAGGAATGGGGTCAGGGAGAGGCAAAAGATATTGACTTGGAGAACTGGTTGGCTTCGTTTTCAGAACTCCACTGGACTCCAGGTTTGAAAAGACATAGAGCAAGAACCTCTAGCCTGGAACATAATTAATGTTCTCCAAACTGGGCAGTCTAGAAAAAGTCTGTGAAGTCCCCAGTAGGTATTACTGGCCCTACTGAGCCAGTGCCATCCAAGCTGAGGTTTCCTAGCTACCTATTCTTGGGACCCAGAACTGGAGAGATGAGGGGATGGTGCCCCCAGGCTTCAGTGAGCCTCTTCATGGGTGTGAGAAAACAGGGCCCACTTTCAAGCTAGATTTTGGGGAGCTTGGAGAGAAAGGTGGTAATGTGGCCATTATAATTTTATCAGTAGAGAAAACAATGTGGTAACCTCAGTGCTCTTTCGTAGCCGAATACTTTTGGCTGTTCCTGAAGGTACCGTCACTGACCTGGGCTAAGAAATGGAAAGAGGCAGCTCTCATGTTCCCCCCAAGCTTTCCCAGGTGTGTGTGGTGGGGAGAGGGGTGCCTGGGTATCCAGGATATCAAACACCCCTTCCCTACACACACACAAACAGAATTTTACATTGAATGGGAAAAGACTTGCAGGAATTTTTTTCTACCAGTGTCTCTGTTGAGAAGGGGATTCTTAGCATGGCTATGTAAATCAATACCAAGTTATTTCTTTGAATTCAAAGGCTATTTATCCAGGTCTAATTTCCTTAGAATTAATGTGATAACTGAGCTCAACTTAGCAACCAGACCCAGCCAGGCCTAGCTCCTCTTGAATGTACTTCTTCAGCCCATAGAGGCTGCAGACCCCAGTCCAGCACCCAATCCATTCCCTACGCTGAGCGTGGAGGAAACACAAATCCATATATGGCTAGAACCCAAAGAGCAAGCCCATTCCTCCCACAGTGGCCTTGGGCTCCAGGATACATGCACTCTTGTGTTGGCAATGGTTAAGTATTTCTCTCTAAATAGCATTGACAGTCGGAATACAAGCCCCAAACACCTCAACACCTTAAAAAGCAGAAAATAGTTGAGGCCTCAAATCACTACTAAAACTTCGTAGTGAATGCGACCCTCACCTACTACAGGCACTAAAGGAGCCTTAGGCCTCCGACTCCTGATGACTGCCAGCTTTACTTCTGTTTTAAATGATAAAGACTTGGCGGGCCTCACCAGCGCTCCTCCTCCTACCCCGAAGGGCTGGCTGGAGTTTCCCAGCTGTCAAGACAAAGAGGTAGAAGCCAGGGTGACCGCTAGCCGCGTGCCGCAGGGACCTGGAGCCCCTGAGATGTGCATCTTCGCAGAGAGACCCTGGAGAAACCGAGAGTTCTTTCCTCTTTCACAAGTTTTGGAGGTGCCGGCTGGACTAGAACAAACCAGGGGTTACTCGCCTCGGCTCGGCTCATTACCATCGCCCCTAACACTGGGCTAATGGCTCAGAAGCCGAGATGCCGAGGACCCCTGGAGAGAAATGACTGTGGTGGCGTCCCTCCTGCAGACAGCCCCACTGCACACCGAACTCCTCTTGCGGAGTCTGGTGGCAGAGGCCACACGTGGCAGCCACTCGCTGCAAGCCACCTTGGCGCACTGTGTGGGGCCAGACAGGATCTCTGGCCTACCGTTTCGGGGACAAGCAGGAAAGCCAGACGTCCACGCTTGCGATTTGGATTCTATCCCATAATCGCACACAGAGATCTCTATCAAGCCGGGAGGGACCCCTCGCGCTGCTCCGGAGCCCTTAACTCTCCGAACGCAATCTGAGTCGCTCAGTAGGTCTCAGCAGGACCTTTACCATAGGAAACAACTGCTACCTCGGTACAGCTGAACACTTCCTCCTCCGGAACACAGTTCTGGGATTTTTATTCTTTATCTAGGAGCGAGGGATGAGGGCCCTGCAGCTACAACCCGGCCAATTCCAGCCCTCCGGGCCTTGGGAATTAAGCAAACAAAAAAACACAAAACAAAACAACACCTCCCCCCACCAAAAGAAACTTTGCAAATAGAGGCTGCTGTGCCCCGAATCTGTTCTCAGCGCGGGGTCCATCACGGGTCCCACTACAAAGCGACTCGCTCCGCTCAGGGTGCTGCCAGAGTTTGGGGAGGCCGGCGAGGAAAGCAGTGCACCTGTGAGCATAGAGTGAGAAACATAGACATGCACAGTGGGGGAAACGCCTTCACCGTGTTAACAGCAAGCTGCAGGGTATAAAGCAATAAAACTGCCACGTCTACCTGCTGGCTTTGAGGACCTTACAAACAAGCTGGGCGCGCAGCCCGGGTGCGCCAAGAGCGCGCCAGGGGAGGGGGGACCTTCTCTTTTTCTGACCTCCCCTTCTGTCCTCCTCCTCATACACACATACACACCCGACACACATCTCCCCCTCACCCAGCCCCCCTTTCATTTTCCTTAAAGCTTTTTTGTTGTTGCTTTAATTCGCTGTCGATTTGTAAACGCGTGGATCGGGTTACTGGTTCGCGTGTAAAGTGCACCTCTTGTTAAAAGGAGGGGAACAGGGCACACCACTTAAAAATGAATTCAGAGTTACTGAACCGGCTCCCGAGGCTCAAGAAGTTAAGCGCAGAGGGCTGGAAAAGGGAAGGAGGGGGCGAGGATAGTAAACGCTGCTGCCCTGGGAACCGTGGCGAAAACCCACGGACGGCGAGCTTCAGGTCATCTGAAAAAATGGAGGAAGGAAGGAAAAAAAGAAAAAGAAAAGGGCAAAGTAGCCTGGCTGTGCCTGGAGACCCCGGGTTGGAAGCTGGATAAATGAATTAGCATAAGCGGCTGCCGCGGAGCTTCGCGCAATGTGTAAATGAGACTCCTAGAACTGCTGCTTCTGCAGCCACCTTTTCTGGAGTTACGGAGATAAACGGCACAACTGTATTGTCCATTCTGGGGTTCCCTGGGTCGCATGACTTATGGAATCCAAGCGAATAGGGTGTAAAGAAGCCCCCTGTAGTTTTCCCAAAGGGACACCCAGACTTATCCCCGCAACCATAGACACAGTGACCAGTTGTTATTAGATTGTACATTTCTCCGTGTGGCCAAAGGTTGGCGGCTTGGATCTACTGCACGCAGACTGAAAGCTGGTGCCGAGCCGGTGGGGGTCTGCACGTCTTCCCCATCCAGTATAGATCCATTGGCAATGAGGACCCGGCGCCTCCCCGCAGTCCCAGGGCCTGGCCCCACACAGCCCAGCCGGCCATTCTCCGCGACTGATCCCCAGTCCAGCTCTCCTACCTGGTGGCCGGGCCTGAGCTGGGCGCCGGCGCTCCGCTGGCTCTGCTGGGTTGCCTGGACCTGAGTGGGTCTGGGGACTAGACGAAGAAAGGCTAGATCCACAGCTCTGGGCTGCTCCGAACTTAGTCTTTCCCCAGTCCATCTTTGAAAGAGAAGTGGTTCTACCACCTGGATGTGCCGATATAAATCCCCTTGCAAATAATAAATGGATTAATAATAACAAGGTATGAAGTTCTTTTTATAGAAAAAAAGGAGAGAATTGAAACTAAATGCGGCAGTTAGACAACCATTTTGATAAGAGGATAATTGAGGCGACACTGGTGTATAATTAGAGGATAATTTATGCTATATCCACTTTTATTCCACCTCCCAAAATAAACCCAGTCCATAATCATTACAGGCAAATTGTTCTGAATTTTATAGCAGCAATTTGAACAAAGTACTGCAGTTAATCATGGGAGATTTTTGTGTATTCCTGATTAGAACTCTAATTGCCTCCTTCCAGAAAGTAAAAATAACTGTAAAACGACTCTATTTTTATCATTAACAATGTTGACAATAAAATAAAATCAATTGGAATTGTAATCGAGAGACAAATTTAGGACGAAGGCACTTTTACTTGGGTAGTTTATATTGTAATCAAGATTTGCCAAACCACTAACCGCATGTATCATTTGCATATATTTGAAAGCATTACAGTAGCTTCTGTTTTCAATAGGAAAAAATGCATTACTGTCAGTCCTCCAACGATTTGCTTTCAGAACAGGCTGCTGCGTTCTAGAAAAAAATATGTTTTCTCCCCCTTTTTTGTCCAATATATAGGAAATACAGCAGGAACCTCGCCAAAACAGGGTCTGATTTTTTTTATCCCCCTCCTTTTTTCTTTACCACCCCCCCCACACACACCCATGGGGTGGGGTCCAGGTGTGGGGGTTCTTCCCTGTGTGGTGTAGGTAAAGTACGTCTAAAAAATCAATGGTGACTGGGCGCTCCCGAGAGGACTGTGGTGGGACTGGGAGGACGGGGGTGTGGGAGGAGAGGAGGTCAAAGCAGGGGGCCTTGCTTTAAATGCAGAGGGCACTGCTTCTGATCACAGGAAGCCTGCCATAGTGTGAGGGGACTGCGAGGGAGCAGCCCCCGGCCAGGCTGTTGTAGGGTTGCGGTATCGGAACTGAGGCTTCGGGTGTGGGGGTGCGAGCGGCAGCTGGAGGCGTCGGCTGCCGGCCTAGCGGGGGCACCTCCCTCCCCGGCGGCCCCGAGCGCGGAGTCGCGCGGCCCCGGTCGCACAGCTCGCTGCTGGGATTGGCGTGGCGGAAGGTAGGCGAGGACCTCCGCGCGCCGCGCTCTCACCAGTAGAAGCCGTGCGCCTGTGACGTCAGGGGGCGACTGACCAATGGGGAGGCGCTGCCCTTTGGAGACAAACCATTCGACTCGTGGCGTCTGCATCAAGTCTGAAAGCAGACGCGCAACTTTCGCAGAATCCACCTTAAAATCTCTGCCTTAAACTGCACCAGCCCCCAAAAACTCCAAGGGGGGCAGGGGGGAGAGCTGATCCCCTCCCCCTCCTCTCCATCCCTCCCCTCCTCCCGTCGGGTTAGCGAGGCCCTGCTCACTGTATCTCTGTATTAAATATATGTGTATTAGAGACGAGCGAGGACAGGGGAGCCGCCTCCGCCCCCTCTTTTTAAATTTTTTTTATTTTTTTTGCAAGGATCCCAAGAGCTAAGGTGGCTGCAGAGGGGAGAGCGGCGTGAGCCGAGTGGGGGAGGGCGGAGGAACCCCGGGAGAAGGCTCTCTCCAGCCCCCAAAGTTTTGATGATGACCATGACTACGATGGCTGACGGCTCGGAAGGCCAGGACGCGTCCAAATCCGCCTTCATGGAGTTCGGGCAGCAGCCGCCGCAGCAGCAGCAGCCGCCACCGCCGCCGCCGCCGCAGCCACAGCCGCACTCGCAGCAGAGCTCCCCGGCCATGGCGGGCGCGCACTACCCGTTGCACTGCCTGCACTCGGCGGCGGCCGGCTCGCACCACCACCACCACCAGCACCACCACCACGGCTCGCCCTACGCGTCGGGCGGCGGCAACTCCTACAACCACCGCTCGCTCGCCGCCTACCCCTACGTGAGCCACTCGCAGCACAGCCCTTACCTCCAGTCCTACCACAACAGCAGCGCGGCCGCCCAGACGCGAGGGGACGACACAGGTGAGAGGCCGCCTGGGCAGCTCGCTTCTCCCGCCTCCCGCCCGCCCCGCTCACTTCCTCAGCGCCCGGGCCTCCGCCGGCCCCCTCCCCCAGGCGGCCCGGCGCGCCCCCGGCCAGGCCTCGTGCGCGCCCGCTCTCCTGGCGCCCGCCTGCCGGCCTCGCCCAGCCGGGCCCCTTCCCGCCGCCGCGGACCCCCGGCTGCCTCGCGGGGCGGCCCGCCGTGTTCCCGTGTGTCGGCGCGTCTCTCGGGCTGCGCCTCCGGCTGGGCGCAGGCTTCGCTCTGCGAGAGGGTCCGCGCTGCGCTCTTCAGCTCGCTGGGTCTGTGCTCCCTGGGCCTCCCTCCTCCCCTCCCGGCTCCTACCAGCGTCCGGCAGCACTGGGGACATTTCTGGGCCGGAACTGGGGAGCGTGCCCTGCTCCTCAGACCAAACCGGGCAGCCAGTGGCCTACTTTCCGTGTGGTGCCCGGTGAGCTTCGGTGACCGCGAGAGAAACTGGCGTGGCCTCTGGCTCTGGTTAAGCTGGTGACAACTGAGCTCGTTCCCGCGGGCTTTTAGGTGTCCCCCACTCCCCACCCCTGACCAGGCCCTCTTCCTCTGGGTTTTCGATACAGTGTTGGCTGATCCTTTGTTCGTGGAGGAGAAGCAGAGGGCCTCGGGCGAATGGTTCTCAGCACCCAAGGGGGACAAAGTTGCCGTGCGAAGCTCAGCCTGCTCCGGAGCTGGTCTGAGCATCTGGTTGTGTTTTTTGTTTGGGATTTTGGTTCCTCTCAGCAGAATCGTTTCCAACACGCCGAGAGGTCTTGATGCACCAGGCTTGGAGCTAGTGGCATCAGGACAACTGATCGCACAAACACCAGGGTGGCTCAACCACAGTTTAAGGGACTAGAAAGCCAGGCCGAGGGGCCCCGCTCTGCAGAGAGAGCAGCACCCCGCCGTGCTGCGCGTCCCAGTGAGAGGCCGGCGCCGCCTCTGCTGCTGCAGAGCCAGGCTGGTTGCCGGAGGGCCGAGGGCGTCCCCACGGTCCAGCCCCCACGCATTATTAGAGCCAGAATCTAGGTCTGGGAAAAGCTTTCGCAGTCGCTGGGAACAGCCCGGCACCCAGAGAGGTCAGTGTGGCGTGGGGACGCTTCGAGAAAACCCTTATTGGGTTTTGGGGAGACCTGGAGCAGGCAGGCCCCGCTCAGGGAGACCAGCAGTAGTCTCACCGGTGACCGCTCCTCTGTATCCTTTGCTTGCAGATCAACAGAAAACCACAGTGATTGAAAACGGGGAAATCAGGTTCAATGGAAAAGGGAAAAAGATTCGGAAGCCTCGGACCATTTATTCCAGCCTGCAGCTCCAGGCTTTAAACCATCGCTTTCAGCAGACTCAGTACCTGGCCCTTCCCGAGAGAGCTGAACTGGCAGCTTCCTTAGGACTGACACAAACACAGGTAATTCTCGAGGAGCCTGAGTATCCCTGAAATGCTGATCCCGCTTGCAGATCGGGCTGGGAGCACATCAGGAGGAATTCTTGGCCTAGTCAACCAAGGATGGAAGGAGCTTAATGACAAATGCCTTTGGCTCCCCTTACGTATTTCCCGGGACACCACAGTTTGGAATAAATGACCTGGTATTGAATACTGGATTGGATTTGCACATCCTCCCAACCTTCAGCGACCCCACCCCCAGCCTAGTGTCCTTTGGTGACCAAATTTATAAATTTAATCGAGTCCTCTTCCAGAGCAAAACAACACAAAAGAGAACAAACATGTAGGAGAAAGAGAAAAAGATGTTCAGACCAGGAGGCAGAATATGACCCACATTTGTTAAGGATCCTTTTGTGGGCCCTACAACTTAACAAGGATTTCAAGTCATTGACATAGAAAGAAAGAATTATGAAGAGAAATGGGGTTGGGGGCAAGCAGATAGGCATAGACTCCCAACAAAATGTAGTAAAGGGACCAAGGTGCAAACTATTCTTCCTAGGATAGATGAAGTGGATTTTTCTGAAGATTGCCCTAAACTCAGTGGTTAAATCATCCTGGGTGACTGGCGCAGGCTGAGGTACCTCCCTGGAGCCCGGGACTTGGGAGCAATGGCAGAGTTGAAGATCAAAGAGAAATGCTCACCAAATTATAGCGGGGGGAAGCCTCAGTTAAGTACAGTGACTGAAGTCCTCCTGTCCTATTAATTTGAAAGACATATTGGGCATTTTTCCCAACTTCACAGGAAGGGGTTTAGGCAGGTATGTCAGAGCCCTGGTCATAAAGCCTGGCTGCAATCACTTGTGGATTTTGTCCTTGTCAATTAACTTAGCTGCATGGGGTGGTAGATCTTATCTGAGGTGGGTGATCTTCAGCAAGGGAACTTCAGGTTTCATGAAACTCTTGCTGGGGAATAACTGTGTGGTGCTTTGGAACAGATGCTCCTTAAGCTCTTCTTTTCAATTCAACCTACTTTCTCTTGCCATGTTTCCATGAAAAATATTTGGGGTTTGATATGAAGGGATTCCGGCTGCTCGGTAACTATATTCCTCTTGGAAAAGCAGATTCCTATGGCTGAAGAATTTTGAAGGTAAAGAGAGCTAACACCATAGAATTTCCTTCTTCAAACAAAGTAGATTTGGGATGAGAGTTTAGATATGCTCCCATCCCAGATTCCTAATTCACATTTAATTTTTAGGAGCCCTTTGACTTTTAGTGACTACACCAACAATCATGTGATGGTTGCTGGCCACAGTTGACTAAGCCACATACAAAGTGGGGAATGAGGGAGGTACAATTCCAAATCCCTGCAGGATTATGGGAATATAGTTATGTTAGGAGAAGATGCTCCATGCACAGCATATGACATGTGCAAAATATGATAGGTATATTCAAGGCATCTGTTTATAAATGTACAGGCTTTAATCTGTTCAGAGTCTTGCTTACAGTACATGCATAGAGATGGTTGGTTTAGGGGTTAGTAAATATGAAAACCGACTATCAGAGGAAGTGCTTCAATTGGGTTTGATCTGAAAAGTTCTTTTTAGAAATTTCCCTTAAGACTTGAAACCCAGCTATCTCATTTGTCTTCATTCTTATTTATGTTGTTGTTTGAAACCTAGGATTGCATCCAGCTTAAGAATTACAATGACTTTAGGTATCCAGACAAGATACACACCTAGAATGGGAGTTGCTAGGTGGAGGATAGAAAAAGGCGAAGGAAGGTAGGGGACTTGAGAGATTGGCAGCTGCGTCTTTTGTTTGCTGTTTGTTTGTTTGTTTGTTTGTTTGTTTGTTTTATTGCTTCAAAGCCTCCAATAGAGGCACCTGGTTCAATGTTGTTTGGACCTAATGATCGTTGTGCGCTTTGTTCTAGGTGAAGATATGGTTTCAAAACAAACGCTCTAAGTTTAAGAAACTGCTGAAGCAGGGCAGTAACCCCCACGAGAGCGACCCTCTCCCTGGCTCAGCGGCCCTGTCACCACGCTCGCCGGCGCTGCCTCCGGTGTGGGACGTTTCTGCCTCTGCCAAGGGCGTCAGTATGCCCCCCAACAGCTACATGCCGGGCTATTCGCATTGGTACTCCTCTCCACACCAGGACACGATGCAGAGACCACAGATGATGTGAGTTGTCTGAGGGCAATCGATACCCTAGGGAAACGTCTGGACAAGGCAAGGAAGATCCGGGATCTGCTCGCATCTGCCAAACCCTGCCAACGGAGCAGGCTCGGGGAACTCTCATGCGTGGCCAGACCGTTTGGGCGCTTGCTGGCTCTCTCTCGCTCTCCCTCTCTTGTCTCACTCGTCCCTTCCTTTTCTTTCCACCTTGCTTCCTCACAACCTTTCTTTTTTCCTGTCCTCTCCTCATTTGCCTTTTCCCTTGAGCAGCCTCAGTATTTGATCTTGCATCTTAGGGAGAGAGAAAAAAAGAGAGAGAGAAACTGGTTTCTATGCCAGTGCTCCTGAAACCCCTCACTGTAAGGATATTTTTCCCTTATCCTTTGGGATCCAGGCTCTGAGCCTCTTCTTCTTTTTGGGAGTATCCATCAAAATGACTTTTTAAACAAAGATATTTTTCCCCCACCAGAAGAATATGTGCAAACATGGCAGCATTTTTACTTGTTTAATGAGCTTAAGACATTACATGATGGAAGAGAAGAATGTCGGAACTCCTGCGTTTTTATTTACCAATCTCAGACTGACAGAAAAAGAGAAATAAAAACCCCTCATCTAACAGCCCTTCTCTAAAGAAAAAGGAAGAATCGGCTGTAAGATTAGAACCTTGCTACAAAGGGAACGCTGCATGTTTTATCAAAATGCAATGAGCAAGAACGACGATTTAAAAAAACAAAACAAAACCACTCTTTCCCCCACTGCACCCCCAAACCCTGAAGTGGAAATCAGGAAAGACAGAGGAAACAACCAAAATCATCATTCTATTGCTTTGATACCTTTACTAGGTGAATTGGTGGCATTCACTAAGCTAATAGGGACGTTTATAACAAGAAACATTTCTGTATATATTGTTGAATTTTAGTTGTACATATACTTTGTATGTTTTTGTCTTCTTTCATATATGGAGTAAAAGCCACAAAATGCTGGGAGTGTCCTGTATATTTCTCTCTGTGTGTCTCTGTCTCACCACCCCCTTCACCCTCCCTCCCAGTATATTTTCTATCACTCTTAAAAGAATTCCTATTTCCTAATATGGGAAGCCCTATATATAAACATCGAGTGCCTGCAAAGATGTCAATTTGCGGCACTAACCTTCATCTTAACTACTTTAACGTTAACCATGCATGTTTTCTCAGCTTCCTTTATATATTTTATTGTAATTTTGACACATTTATCTTTCTTTTTAAACATTAGAATGATCTATTCTCAGGCTAACCTCTAGACATCCAGTAGTTCCCAGTGCTGAAACTGAGTGTTCTCCTTTCCCTTTCTTCAGCCAAAATAATGCAATTGTATTTGTCTTTGTTTAGAAGCAGGTTTTTTATAACAAAAAGGAAGAAATAATTTTTTTAAAAAAACAAGGTAAATGCATAATTATAACTACTTAATGTTTACAACCCTTTGCAAACTAACTAGGTAGGAAAATGCATAACCTTGGATGAAATACATCCTTCCGATCTTGTGGAAAGCACAGAAATAATGAAAATGAAGTCCTTTCGTCATACAAGCAGGAAGCCCCATACTGTGAGAATTAATGGCTACAGACCTGGGCATCCTTCAAATTATGAACCTTGAAACCACTGAGCCATTTATCAGAAGTCAATAGAGATACTCAGAGTGCTCCATATAATGACAGCGACATACAGTTGTGCAAAAGGACAGTCACTATAATTAGACACAAAGCAAAGACTACTTACCAATATACCCGTTCCTTTTTTTGTTGAGCAACTTCCACGCTCAGTCAGTCTCAGAATGGTTTAAAACCGATCAGTCTTGTCATTTTCTAGCATTCGCATTGTTACATTAGGAAAAATGTTTTCTTTTCTTTTTTCCCCCTTCCTACTGTGAAACTTTGGGTTCGTAGCTCCCCAGGATCAATTCTGAACAAAGCCTCCAGCTGCAGTGCCATCCAATTTGAAGCAGACATTGGGGACAATTTAAGGTTTTTATCCACAAGAAGGTTTTTTTCCATTCTCTTAAATGCAGCCATAATTAGAGTAATTTTTCATGTAGCCCGCTGATTACAGCGTTTTTACCGTCAAAGATAATTACCTGTAATTTTCTTCCACTTTTAATACTAAAAAGCCATCTTTATTTAGATTCAGGAACAGGAAAGGCGAAACAAAAGAGGGAAATTATTCTGTTATTCATACACAAATTGCAGAGATGTAGGACCTAAAATTGAAAATTAACCAAAATTATAATGCTGAAAAGAATGGAAGAGGCTGCAGAAGTACAGCTGGTAGAGGGGCTTTGCTGAATTATTCAAATTACGTTAGAGAGAAAGCTACCATACATCGAAACCAACACTAATTTATCTTTAAAAAAAAAATCCACCAGACACATGCCAAACCACTGTGAGCGCATGGAATTCTGAAACCCAGCAAGTGCATTTTAACACATTGGAGGTGGTGTCATGATGAGCCAATATCGATCTTTCTATCTCCTGATATGAGTTTAATTAAAGTCTGCCATGGGATTCTCCCCAGAATTGTCCTTGGGAACTAGTTTTCCTCTGGGTCTCTGAACCTCACGGGTTAGTATCTTCTCTCTTTGGAATGTATTGACCCCATAGTAAACTGATTCCCGAGAGTGGAATTTAGTAGGAGGGGCGTGGGCGACAGGCATCTCCCAGTCTTGGTGTCTACTACGCCTCCCCACGTTCGCACTTCCCCAGAACGGGAGTTCTAGAGCCTCCTTCTGACCATTTGTAGTTCCATGAGAAAAGAAAAAAAAAACAATAACTGCGGGGGGTGAGGGTGAAGGGGAAAATTTCTCCTCGACGCTAATAAGCATCTCATTATCTTTTGACCCAATTTAGCCCAAAGGTTCCCGCCGCTGAAGAAAGGCCGTATTGCACTGGGGTAAGGGAGCCAAAGATTTCTCAGGCTTCTGCACTTAACTCCCACTCCCCACCCCTGACCAGGCCCTCTTCCTCTGGGTTTTCGATACAGTGTTGGCTGATCCTTTGTTCGTGGAGGAGAAGCAGAGGGCCTCGGGCGAATGGTTCTCAGCACCCAAGGGGGACAAAGTTGCCGTGCGAAGCTCAGCCTGCTCCGGAGCTGGTCTGAGCGTCTGGTTGTGTTTTTTGTTTGGGATTTTGGTTCCTCTCAGCAGAATCGTTTCCAACACGCCGAGAGGTCTTGATGCACCAGGCTTGGAGCTAGTGGCATCAGGACAACTGATCGCACAAACACCAGGGTGGCTCAACCACAGTTTAAGGGACTAGAAAGCCAGGCCGAGGGGCCCCGCTCTGCAGAGAGAGCAGCACCCCGCCGTGCTGCGCGTCCCAGTGAGAGGCCGGCGCCGCCTCTGCTGCTGCAGAGCCAGGCTGGTTGCCGGAGGGCCGAGGGCGTCCCCACGGTCCAGCCCCCACGCATTATTAGAGCCAGAATCTAGGTCTGGGAAAAGCTTTCGCAGTCGCTGGGAACAGCCCGGCACCCAGAGAGGTCAGTGTGGCGTGGGGACGCTTCGAGAAAACCCTTATTGGGTTTTGGGGAGACCTGGAGCAGGCAGGCCCCGCTCAGGGAGACCAGCAGTAGTCTCACCGGTGACCGCTCCTCTGTATCCTTTGCTTGCAGATCAACAGAAAACCACAGTGATTGAAAACGGGGAAATCAGGTTCAATGGAAAAGGGAAAAAGATTCGGAAGCCTCGGACCATTTATTCCAGCCTGCAGCTCCAGGCTTTAAACCATCGCTTTCAGCAGACTCAGTACCTGGCCCTTCCCGAGAGAGCTGAACTGGCAGCTTCCTTAGGACTGACACAAACACAGGTAATTCTCGAGGAGCCTGAGTATCCCTGAAATGCTGATCCCGCTTGCAGATCGGGCTGGGAGCACATCAGGAGGAATTCTTGGCCTAGTCAACCAAGGATGGAAGGAGCTTAATGACAAATGCCTTTGGCTCCCCTTACGTATTTCCCGGGACACCACAGTTTGGAATAAATGACCTGGTATTGAATACTGGATTGGATTTGCACATCCTCCCAACCTTCAGCGACCCCACCCCCAGCCTAGTGTCCTTTGGTGACCAAATTTATAAATTTAATCGAGTCCTCTTCCAGAGCAAAACAACACAAAAGAGAACAAACATGTAGGAGAAAGAGAAAAAGATGTTCAGACCAGGAGGCAGAATATGACCCACATTTGTTAAGGATCCTTTTGTGGGCCCTACAACTTAACAAGGATTTCAAGTCATTGACATAGAAAGAAAGAATTATGAAGAGAAATGGGGTTGGGGGCAAGCAGATAGGCATAGACTCCCAACAAAATGTAGTAAAGGGACCAAGGTGCAAACTATTCTTCCTAGGATAGATGAAGTGGATTTTTCTGAAGATTGCCCTAAACTCAGTGGTTAAATCATCCTGGGTGACTGGCGCAGGCTGAGGTACCTCCCTGGAGCCCGGGACTTGGGAGCAATGGCAGAGTTGAAGATCAAAGAGAAATGCTCACCAAATTATAGCGGGGGGAAGCCTCAGTTAAGTACAGTGACTGAAGTCCTCCTGTCCTATTAATTTGAAAGACATATTGGGCATTTTTCCCAACTTCACAGGAAGGGGTTTAGGCAGGTATGTCAGAGCCCTGGTCATAAAGCCTGGCTGCAATCACTTGTGGATTTTGTCCTTGTCAATTAACTTAGCTGCATGGGGTGGTAGATCTTATCTGAGGTGGGTGATCTTCAGCAAGGGAACTTCAGGTTTCATGAAACTCTTGCTGGGGAATAACTGTGTGGTGCTTTGGAACAGATGCTCCTTAAGCTCTTCTTTTCAATTCAACCTACTTTCTCTTGCCATGTTTCCATGAAAAATATTTGGGGTTTGATATGAAGGGATTCCGGCTGCTCGGTAACTATATTCCTCTTGGAAAAGCAGATTCCTATGGCTGAAGAATTTTGAAGGTAAAGAGAGCTAACACCATAGAATTTCCTTCTTCAAACAAAGTAGATTTGGGATGAGAGTTTAGATATGCTCCCATCCCAGATTCCTAATTCACATTTAATTTTTAGGAGCCCTTTGACTTTTAGTGACTACACCAACAATCATGTGATGGTTGCTGGCCACAGTTGACTAAGCCACATACAAAGTGGGGAATGAGGGAGGTACAATTCCAAATCCCTGCAGGATTATGGGAATATAGTTATGTTAGGAGAAGATGCTCCATGCACAGCATATGACATGTGCAAAATATGATAGGTATATTCAAGGCATCTGTTTATAAATGTACAGGCTTTAATCTGTTCAGAGTCTTGCTTACAGTACATGCATAGAGATGGTTGGTTTAGGGGTTAGTAAATATGAAAACCGACTATCAGAGGAAGTGCTTCAATTGGGTTTGATCTGAAAAGTTCTTTTTAGAAATTTCCCTTAAGACTTGAAACCCAGCTATCTCATTTGTCTTCATTCTTATTTATGTTGTTGTTTGAAACCTAGGATTGCATCCAGCTTAAGAATTACAATGACTTTAGGTATCCAGACAAGATACACACCTAGAATGGGAGTTGCTAGGTGGAGGATAGAAAAAGGCGAAGGAAGGTAGGGGACTTGAGAGATTGGCAGCTGCGTCTTTTGTTTGCTGTTTGTTTGTTTGTTTGTTTGTTTGTTTGTTTTATTGCTTCAAAGCCTCCAATAGAGGCACCTGGTTCAATGTTGTTTGGACCTAATGATCGTTGTGCGCTTTGTTCTAGGTGAAGATATGGTTTCAAAACAAACGCTCTAAGTTTAAGAAACTGCTGAAGCAGGGCAGTAACCCCCACGAGAGCGACCCTCTCCCTGGCTCAGCGGCCCTGTCGCCACGCTCGCCGGCGCTGCCTCCGGTGTGGGACGTTTCTGCCTCTGCCAAGGGCGTCAGTATGCCCCCCAACAGCTACATGCCGGGCTATTCGCATTGGTACTCCTCTCCACACCAGGACACGATGCAGAGACCACAGATGATGTGAGTTGTCTGAGGGCAATCGATACCCTAGGGAAACGTCTGGACAAGGCAAGGAAGATCCGGGATCTGCTCGCATCTGCCAAACCCTGCCAACGGAGCAGGCTCGGGGAACTCTCATGCGTGGCCAGACCGTTTGGGCGCTTGCTGGCTCTCTCTCGCTCTCCCTCTCTTGTCTCACTCGTCCCTTCCTTTTCTTTCCACCTTGCTTCCTCACAACCTTTCTTTTTTCCTGTCCTCTCCTCATTTGCCTTTTCCCTTGAGCAGCCTCAGTATTTGATCTTGCATCTTAGGGAGAGAGAAAAAAAGAGAGAGAGAAACTGGTTTCTATGCCAGTGCTCCTGAAACCCCTCACTGTAAGGATATTTTTCCCTTATCCTTTGGGATCCAGGCTCTGAGCCTCTTCTTCTTTTTGGGAGTATCCATCAAAATGACTTTTTAAACAAAGATATTTTTCCCCCACCAGAAGAATATGTGCAAACATGGCAGCATTTTTACTTGTTTAATGAGCTTAAGACATTACATGATGGAAGAGAAGAATGTCGGAACTCCTGCGTTTTTATTTACCAATCTCAGACTGACAGAAAAAGAGAAATAAAAACCCCTCATCTAACAGCCCTTCTCTAAAGAAAAAGGAAGAATCGGCTGTAAGATTAGAACCTTGCTACAAAGGGAACGCTGCATGTTTTATCAAAATGCAATGAGCAAGAACGACGATTTAAAAAAACAAAACAAAACCACTCTTTCCCCCACTGCACCCCCAAACCCTGAAGTGGAAATCAGGAAAGACAGAGGAAACAACCAAAATCATCATTCTATTGCTTTGATACCTTTACTAGGTGAATTGGTGGCATTCACTAAGCTAATAGGGACATTTATAACAAGAAACATTTCTGTATATATTGTTGAATTTTAGTTGTACATATACTTTGTATGTTTTTGTCTTCTTTCATATATGGAGTAAAAGCCACAAAATGCTGGGAGTGTCCTGTATATTTCTCTCTGTGTGTCTCTGTCTCACCACCCCCTTCACCCTCCCTCCCAGTATATTTTCTATCACTCTTAAAAGAATTCCTATTTCCTAATATGGGAAGCCCTATATATAAACATCGAGTGCCTGCAAAGATGTCAATTTGCGGCACTAACCTTCATCTTAACTACTTTAACGTTAACCATGCATGTTTTCTCAGCTTCCTTTATATATTTTATTGTAATTTTGACACATTTATCTTTCTTTTTAAACATTAGAATGATCTATTCTCAGGCTAACCTCTAGACATCCAGTAGTTCCCAGTGCTGAAACTGAGTGTTCTCCTTTCCCTTTCTTCAGCCAAAATAATGCAATTGTATTTGTCTTTGTTTAGAAGCAGGTTTTTTATAACAAAAAGGAAGAAATAATTTTTTTAAAAAAACAAGGTAAATGCATAATTATAACTACTTAATGTTTACAACCCTTTGCAAACTAACTAGGTAGGAAAATGCATAACCTTGGATGAAATACATCCTTCCGATCTTGTGGAAAGCACAGAAATAATGAAAATGAAGTCCTTTCGTCATACAAGCAGGAAGCCCCATACTGTGAGAATTAATGGCTACAGACCTGGGCATCCTTCAAATTATGAACCTTGAAACCACTGAGCCATTTATCAGAAGTCAATAGAGATACTCAGAGTGCTCCATATAATGACAGCGACATACAGTTGTGCAAAAGGACAGTCACTATAATTAGACACAAAGCAAAGACTACTTACCAATATACCCGTTCCTTTTTTTGTTGAGCAACTTCCACGCTCAGTCAGTCTCAGAATGGTTTAAAACCGATCAGTCTTGTCATTTTCTAGCATTCGCATTGTTACATTAGGAAAAATGTTTTCTTTTCTTTTTTCCCCCTTCCTACTGTGAAACTTTGGGTTCGTAGCTCCCCAGGATCAATTCTGAACAAAGCCTCCAGCTGCAGTGCCATCCAATTTGAAGCAGACATTGGGGACAATTTAAGGTTTTTATCCACAAGAAGGTTTTTTTCCATTCTCTTAAATGCAGCCATAATTAGAGTAATTTTTCATGTAGCCCGCTGATTACAGCGTTTTTACCGTCAAAGATAATTACCTGTAATTTTCTTCCACTTTTAATACTAAAAAGCCATCTTTATTTAGATTCAGGAACAGGAAAGGCGAAACAAAAGAGGGAAATTATTCTGTTATTCATACACAAATTGCAGAGATGTAGGACCTAAAATTGAAAATTAACCAAAATTATAATGCTGAAAAGAATGGAAGAGGCTGCAGAAGTACAGCTGGTAGAGGGGCTTTGCTGAATTATTCAAATTACGTTAGAGAGAAAGCTACCATACATCGAAACCAACACTAATTTATCTTTAAAAAAAAAATCCACCAGACACATGCCAAACCACTGTGAGCGCATGGAATTCTGAAACCCAGCAAGTGCATTTTAACACATTGGAGGTGGTGTCATGATGAGCCAATATCGATCTTTCTATCTCCTGATATGAGTTTAATTAAAGTCTGCCATGGGATTCTCCCCAGAATTGTCCTTGGGAACTAGTTTTCCTCTGGGTCTCTGAACCTCACGGGTTAGTATCTTCTCTCTTTGGAATGTATTGACCCCATAGTAAACTGATTCCCGAGAGTGGAATTTAGTAGGAGGGGCGTGGGCGACAGGCATCTCCCAGTCTTGGTGTCTACTACGCCTCCCCACGTTCGCACTTCCCCAGAACGGGAGTTCTAGAGCCTCCTTCTGACCATTTTTAGTTCCATGAGAAAAGAAAAAAAAAACAATAACTGCGGGGGGTGAGGGTGAAGGGGAAAATTTCTCCTCGACGCTAATAAGCATCTCATTATCTTTTGACCCAATTTAGCCCAAAGGTTCCCGCCGCTGAAGAAAGGCCGTATTGCACTGGGGTAAGGGAGCCAAAGATTTCTCAGGCTTCTGCACTTAACATCTCTAGCTGCTTCCAGTGTCTACAGGGTCAGGAAACAGCGTCATCTATAGATAGAACAGCACCGCTACTTGAAGAGTTTCTCCGCGCGTTCCTAAATCAGACTGGTTTTTTTGACTCCGCAAATCGGTTCTGCGTCTCAGCCAATCATGCCCCTCCAACCCCAAGGTCGCAACTTTTGGGCCCCGCGGGCAATAGCTCTCCCAGCAGCGGCCCGCCCCTCCCCCCTTCCCTCCCACCAGCTTGAGGCGAAGGTCTCGCAAAGCAGCCCGAAGGGTTTCAGAGGCCAGTTATTCTGGAAACTTTCTCCCCGAGTGGAGGAAGATGTCAAAGGCACTATACAGGCGAGAGATTCCGAGTACACCTGTTATTGCAAATGTCCGCAAACCTGTGATACTGAAAGAGCACCGTTCCGAGCTCCGTTTGCTCTCTTGACGCCCCAAATCTTAAAATCATCCCACATGTAAGCACCTCAAAGGATTCAACTAGGGCTAGCTTTGAGTAACAATTTTCAAATAGATTTTAGCTTGGAATCTCCAGCCGGCTCCCTCCGCACCTTACAGAAACCTGGTCCTTTTCGCAGTCTCCAGTCACAAATACATCAACAACATTGAAAGCAAGAAAGACAAATCCAGTTCTTAAGGATCCCATTCGAACCCGAATCCTTTTACTCACCAGAACGACAACGCTTTTACTGCTAAAGGGGGATAAAAGGTCAAAATTGAAAAACCTATAAAGCAAAGTTGCAGTCCATAGTGAATTACAAAAGCAACACATACAGCTTGGAAAGTGTGAGAAGAGAAACATGAACTGTTCCTTGAAGTATGCAAGAAATAAAAACTTACCCCCAGTGAATCTCTTAAGCAATGATCAGGGTCTAGAAATCTATACTGAACAGAAGCAGAAGAGAATATTTTTCTGAGTCTCAGGGCAGAAGCTCTTTCTCTATATTCTTGGTTGAGTGAGCACATCCAGGTGTGAAATTGTTTGCACACCCCAGCACCTCTTATATTGCCAGCAAAATTAGCTGTTATTACTGTCACTGTTTAGTGATGGTTAGCGTGATACAAAAAAAAAAAAAACTGCTGTAATCAAGACCTGGCGCATCTTTGCAAATTACAGATAATTGTAAACGTCCAGATTATGATAATAGCATCCTAATCCAGCCTGCAATATAATTATTACAGAGTGTTACATCTGAAACTGTCCAGTAGGGCTAATTCAGCCATTATTTAGACCCTATTTTTGCACTGCAAATGGGTTGCTGAGTTGAAAATGTACGATTGTAATTTCACAGGGCACTCAATGAGTAATGGTATAGGAAGAGGAAAATACAAAAGTGAAATGTGAACAGTAGCGATCAAATCAAACCCTGAAGGACAAAAGACTGTTTGATTCATATGGAAAAAGAAGAGCGGGAATTAAGAAAATAGCAAATCAGTGGTCTGAAGCATTACGTGTCCAAATCCTCAATATGTATAGGGCTGATGTATTTGTAAGGGCTGCTGCATCCGCTGCTGCCTGAAGTCTGAAATAATTTTTTTTAAACCTCCTCTTTCTTCTCTCTCTGAAAGCATTCCTTGCTCTAAAAAAAAAAAAAGTGCTCCTCCCCCAAGCAAAGAACATTTGTCAGTTTCACCATTGTTTCCACCAAGGCATCCTCAGAGTGTGCCTGTCACTTGTTTATGAACATTTTCTTAAATGAATTTGCAATCTCTCTTGTCATCAGAACAAAATGCCCTGGGTGCTTTTACGTGTTCTGAGCTCCAACTCCACTCTTTTTCATAGCGAGCAACTCACTGAGACTCCTAAAGGATATTAGCAGAAAATGTTTTAATTGCTGCTAATTAAATAAAGCTGGCTGGGAAGCTATCTCTTCTACTGGGCTTGGCTGGCTATTGGCTTTAATCCTATCATTAACTTTTATTTATGAATCCCCTTCCCCCATATAAACCAGTCCAGCTGCTTCTTTAGCTACACGTCACTGATGTGCTTCTTTCCGGATTCCAGAAAGTCCAGTATTTTTGATAAAGGACTGTCCCTTTCCCCAGATACGTTTGTAAAAGAGCAAGGTCAGTCTTCTTAAAACATGGAATGACCAAAGAGAGGGAATTTGGAGAGTTAGAGCAAAAGGGTCTACAGAGGCTGGGGCACTGTGCTGGTCCCAGAGGGAAAGTGAACCTGGGGTTTCAGCTGTCATCTTTAGGAAGATGAATCCTGCCCTAGCTGAGATTTCTGAAGTCTACTTCTGGTTCCTGATGGGGACATCGTGGTCAGGGATACCTGAAACCCTTACACCCCCAGGAGCTCAATTTTCCCACTATGAGCACAGAGATTTCCTGGGCATCTTTTTTAGCCTCTGGGACAATGTGTGATGATTCTTCCTCCTCCCATCACCTCACAGACTTGGGAGCTGCCCAGACAGGGCCTCCCTGCAGGGTGGCAAGCAGGCTTCCAAGCTCCTGTGAATCTAAGGGCAATAATGAAATGTCCCCTGTTTAGTGACCCCTGTTTATAGATGAAAGTTGAGTCCATATCCTGTCTCTTCCCCGCCCCTCTTATCCCACCTTGCAAATGGCAAATGGCAGAAATAGTCCTTGGATGACAATAAGCTTCCAGTAGCAGATTTCTGTCTTCTAGATTTTACGAGGGGAAAAAAATGTTTTAAAATAAATCATAGCTTGGGAATTGTTTACCGCCCTTCACCCCCAACCACGTCTTTAAAAAGAATATACTAGACTGTGTACGGTGGAGATTTGACAGAGAATCATTACTCAAACTCGGAGGGTGTGTGTGTGTGTGTAGAATGATGTTATGAAGCCATATTTTTCCCCTTCCTGTGGCGAAAGGTCGTAATGTGTGGTATTTCATGGTTTTATATAAATTTTGGTTTAGGATGTGGAACAGACT